TTGCGACGCTGCCGTGTTAGGTACAGTTCACCGACTCATGTTATCAATGGTGTTCTAATTCGGAAATTATTTTTATTGTATTTAGTTTGTTCTAAATTTGCATTTCTGTATTTTCGTACTAATTTTTATTTTTTTTATTTTAACCGACGTATATTGAACCGTGTTATCTGTTATTTCATTTTTTGTGATATCTTTTATACACGTTGTATATATGTGTGTATGTGTGCGTGTGTTTATATACAGACTCTATCGGCCAGTATAATTTAGAATTAATTTGTTATGTTCCTAAAACAAAACATTTTTAACTTTTGGAACTAACCTTTCCTTGGCCACTTTTATTCGTTTTGTTTACCCAACTGTATTAATTATCATAAAAGCTGAATTATATAATTATTAACTAATAACAGGGGATGACATCGAGAGAGTTGCTGAGTTCGAGGATGATGCAAGATGCAAGATATGGATAAAGAAAATGAAGAAAATAATGCTGTAGAAGAAGATGAAGCGAATTTTGAAAAAGGAAAAAATGAAGAAGAAAGCGACGACACCGAGGAAGAAATGGAAATTGAGTGCCTTATGGACGACGAATTTCGCAGTCTGCGATCAATAAAATATTATTTTAAAAATAATACATAAAAAATAAAGTTTATCTATTCCAATTACTATTCTTATTATTTACAAAATATATTATTAATGAAATATTTAGTGAATTTCTGCCTGTGGAGAGCACGGTGTGCTAGCACGCTGTGAGCGCAATGTGCCGGCACAGTGCTGTCACATTGATAATTTCGGGTGCACATTGATTCAGCACTGAGACGGCACAAGGACAGCACTCGTGCTTTCCACACGTGCCGTCACTGTGCCGTCCTGGGAGCGGGGCAGGAATTAGTCACAGTGCAACCACGCATGTTCCCACGCATGTCATCACACATTGCGCTCACAGCGTGCTAGCACACCCCCGATAACAATTTGTTGGCAGAATGGCGACATTGTGCTCAGCACGAATGGGCCATGCGAGACGTCCAGGTGCCGCGGCTCCGGACCAGTAAATGGCGTCATTGTGACCAGCACGAAGTCAGCACGCGCGCTGCATATATGCCGTCATGAAATGCGAACGTTTCGCCAGCATTTTTAAAACATTTTAATTTGCGCCGAAATTCCGGCTCGCACGGCATGTTGCCATTGTGACAGCATTCAGCAGAGCCTTTGGACTGCATTTTGCCAACATTTTGCTTTTTTTGGTGTAGGTATAATAAAATATAAATAAAACCATTGTGTTTGCAATAATTTTTCATTATAATATTTATTAAAATTTAAACAAATTACAGTACAAAATTACAATACGAAATTGTTACAAATAACGCGCATTCTAATAATTAAACGCAAGAACATAACAATTAATAAAAAAATCATATAAATAATAGAAAATTATACGTAATAATATAGATCAGTGAAAACTAATACATATATATATATATATATATATATTTGGAATTTGCTAGTATCCGTCAAATTGACGATACAGGAAGTTTTGCATCAATGATGTTAACAATAATTAAGTGTCTATATCTCATTTAGAGTATCTCTAAAGTTAATAATTATTGAGAAAATGCATAATCAAGATGATATAATATATTACATTAAAAGGCATTTTCTCAAAAATGATTAACTTTAGACGAAAATGAAAGAGATAAATTTTACTCTATATAAAACAAGAACCGAAAGACACCTTTTAATCACTTTACCTAATTTAGCAACATTTTTAATTTAACACTAAAAATTATAAACCCACTAATAGATTCCCTGTCGTACTAACAACAAAAAAAGCCTCTAGCACTTTCCCTCTAAACTTAATAATTGTTTACAAAAGCACAACACTTTCACTGGACACTTTTCTTCAATCTTCAACATTGCAATCAGATAGATATATGCGTCCCTCCTATACGTGTATATCCATGATGGTGATGGAGAAACAGCTACCATCTCCTGCATCTACTTGCCCCTGTCCCTAGATATAATGAATATTGAAATACGAAGCAGCAGCTATGAACACATCTCACCGCAGATATATCTGGGCATAATCCATCTGTAGACTACTGTGTCCATATATAGAACCTGCAACATAATACAAAACGTTAGAAACTGTACAATACATCTTTTACACCTTACAAGTATCGCGAATAGAATGTCTTAGCCTTATTCATATGAAAAGACCAGTCGCAAAGTTAAAATCCGGATACGAAAGTGACTCTTGAATAAATAGCTCCTGCCATGTTTGTTCTCTGCACCTGCAAAATACAAGATGGCTTTATAATTGTTTGTATATTATATAACTAGATATCACATTCGGAATTAGGAGGAACGCTTTGATTATTGTTCATCCACGATGTGGGTTTGTAATATTCTGAAAGAACTATTTTAATTGTTAGTGTAGACGGGGCCCCCAGCCTCGCCCGTCTCTGTGAGGCTCATCCCTGCAGAAACCTGCACTTAGCCCCTCCAACGCTTTCTTACATTTCTTAAAACGATGAAAAAAACAATTACAGAAAAAGAATAAGAAGTTAAATATTTAAAAAAAAAACAGAATTAAACTAAACAATTTAACAATATTAATAATTAATAAGTAAACATTTAAAAGTACTTTAAACGGGAAATAAATGAAAAAGAGCCTTGTGAAAAGAGAATACACATTAACCACTATGATTTGGAAATAAAATTGAATTTTAGTAATAAAAAAAATGTGTATTCTTTTTTTTTAGCCGCTCGTATGCCCCTGTCATGGCGCCCGCGGCGTCCAGAGTGCCCGCGACTCGCGAGCGAGACCGTCTAGATTGCCCCGGCACAAATACCGACCACCGTAAGTGCCCCACTGTTTTTTGCGTTTTTCCCACGCGCGCGCCGTGTTCCACTTAATCGGTTCTTGTGACTAAAGTTTGTATTGAAAGGGTGTCAAGTGTTATATTTATTTAGTTGCCTATGAAATTAGCTAAACAATGTTATCTTTTTATTTACAGATTACGGCTCTGGTGTTGAGTTACACTGTGTTGAAATTGAGATAACGTCTTTTTAAGCTCGTGTTTTAACTTCGAAGCTCATAGTTCAAAAATGAAAACGATGACCTATGGTTTTTAATGTTTAATTATGTTGTTTAGATAGTAGTTAATATGTTATGAAAAAAAACCAAAATCTCTCCCCCTACATATTTATTTATTTACAGGCCTCTAATCCCTTTCCATTATCGGCCGCCACGCGGCCCTAATTTATGTAAGACTTAACAAGCATATCGTACACAAATATCATTGTTAGGAAAATAAATAAGGTATAACTATATAAGTAGTCTTATTTCTTTTATTACAATCAAAACAATAGGGTAACATACACCACTTTTGAATAATATAACATTTCTGAAACATTCCCATGCTCTCAGTAACATAACTTAGTTTTCCAGATGTTTTTTGTTCTACATACAAAACAAAACAAAAAAAATAACATTACATTCCCTTTATAATAATCTTTAATATCCTTTTCTTTTAAAATTTTCACCAACACACATTTAAATTTCACCAACACACAAAATAATATCACAAAGAAATTCCAACACAGTCACTGCACGGAACGATTCGAAGACTGATGAAATGACAGAAGTTTTATGACGTAAAATTCTTTTTTTTACTAGTGTTTGCATGCTCGCTGAATTAATACCATAGATAATATATCAGACTATAGAAAAATATTACTAGAGCATTATGTCAATACAATTACTGTCAAATACTAATTAATCTGTGGCAGGAGCCTGTTTGACTACCGGTCTACACGGGCACTTTACGGTTTTATTTTTTTAGACTACTAGTCTACACGGCACTTTCCGTTTTTATTTTTGTAGACTGCTAGTCTACACGGGCACTTTAGGATTTCGTTTTTGGGAGACCACTAGTCTACATGGGCATACTAGCGGTTAGTTTAAAAAATAAATCAGGTAAAATAGGGAGGTCAAAATAGTCAGGGGCATCTTTCGCGTCGTCGTTGACCAATTTTTCATTGTCGACATAGTGCAGGGGGTTGAGGTTGGTTCGTTGCGCTCGTAGTCCTGTTCCTCGGGTTGCTCCTCCTGCTGGTCCTCCCCTGCTAAAAAAAGGGTTTAAAAATAGTTAATAGCAATAGAACAGATAATAGTTTAAGAAAATTGAGTCTATTGCTTTCAATTTTTTATTTTTCATATAGACTTATATCAATCTTACGCATTTTATGAAGTTCTAATGCAAATAATGTATTAAAAGTTAGATACCAGGGGCGTCCTCAGCGTCCTCGTCCTCAGCAAATAAATTTTGTTCTAATGATAAAATTTAAAAATGCCATTTTATAAACAATTATTAAGTTTAAAGGGAAAGTGCTAGATGCAGTTTTGTTGTGTAGTGCACACGCAATCTATTCCTGCTATTAGAAATTTTAAATGTTCAATTAAAAATGTTTATGTTCGAAAACCTGTCATATAATACCTATTATTTTAAATTATTTTTCTGCTAGAGACGTACAATTTTGTGGAAGCTTTTAAATAGCATAACAAGCTGGCCGTATTTATTTTTTTAGTTTAAACCCTCTATTATTAGAATAATGATAAAGGGCTTTATCTTTGATTTGATTGCAAATTTAAATTTGATTATTATGAAACATCTTTCGTAATACTTACACACCCGCACACCTTTTTCGGCCATATCAACCTCATTTTTCCAGTGTAAGGATTTTATCATGTTTTAAGAGCAACATATTTTGGTTGTAGCAATATTTTGTATTTATTTTTTCATTACAGGGCTGGTAGATTTTTAAAATTTTATCATCTCTGCTTCTCCATAATCGCGATAAAATTACTATGTATAGGCTTGGAAGTAAACGGTCTAGGAAACCTCTGAGTGATTGCACCGCTGATCACAGAGCTCGCAAAGAAAATTGTTTAAAAGAGCTGGGAATGATTATTTAGCAGAAGCTTCAGTTGAAGCATCCGATCATTGCGACTCCCTTGCTGATGTTGATCGTTTGACTGTTTCTTCGTTTTCCCTTTTGATGAGTTCTTGCTCCAATGAAAATCTAGCTTCTCCTTCGTTTAGTGTTGCAATGACGAGAAATGCAGATTTCGATGGTAGCGGGAAACGATCCAGATGGTTCTTTTGACGCTGGATCGAGGAACATGATTGCCCTTCTGATGGTTCCAGCGAAAACCTAGAAAATTTTTTAAGAAAAATTACAACAAATAAAAGCTGTTTTGCAAGTCTCAAAATCATGGCTGTTTCTCGAGTATACACGTCGTCCGAGAACATATGAAGGCACCCGGTTTACTCTACTCTTCCCTTGTAACGTTGCCGGAGGCGATATCTCCATTTTGGGTGTACGACATGCTCTTGTAAAATGTCTTTTCATCGACTTCCTGCAAGCATGCACCCCGTTACACCTCTTGAATTGATTTTAGTACTGACGAGGCTTCTCTGGACAAAATCAGTAAAATCTTGATGTGGCCCAGTCAGATCAGAGTGGCCAATATTCCGAACAGTAGTCCATACATTGTTGGAATATTTAAGGGTTCGACAAACCATCCAGCGCATCACTTTTTCTTCCACCGTTTAAAGACGAGATGCAAGAATTGCTCGATAATAGTCTGGACTTTCAGAACGAAATGTCTTCGTCCGTTTAAGGTGCTTTGTTGCAGATGCACCTGGCTCGTTCTTTTTCCTTGGGTCATCGTGGCCACAATTCTCGAGCTCCTTGTTCAAGGTGCTGGGTGAGAGGGGAGTACATTCGTGCTGGAGTTATGGTGTACAAAGGAAACGACTCACAGGCTTCGTACAGAGGATGAATATTCTTCAAATGGTCGATACCGATCACCACAATTGCATTGAATGCCCACTTGCTTCGCTCGGTTTCAATGTAGTTTCCAGTACGGTATTCGATTACATGCACTTGGTGTGCCTAGGCGTTATGGAAATGGGCAATATAGGCATAATGGGCATAATAGATGGTAGGTTCGTCAAATCATCAAAAATCTCAAACAGAGGTCATCTGCAAGCTCTGAATAGCCGCCTCGAATTAGTAAAAACGTACTGTCCCAAGAGATTTCGCTCGGAAGCCGATCCTTATTGAGAAAGCATGGCAAGTTTAAAGCCACCGAGCAAAGACAGTTGCTTCTTAACAGTGGTCCCATTATTTTTAATGGATTAGTAAACTCTGCTGTATATAATCATTTTCTTCTACTTCACACAGCAATCAGAATTTTAGTAGATCCTCAATGCACACCACAGTCCATTGATTTCGCAGAAAAATGCATTAATCTTTTTAATGAGACAGCTTCCGACATTTACGGCGTAGAGTTTCTTTCGTATAATGTTCACGCCCTTTTACATCTTCCGACGATGTTAGATCTTTTGGTCACTTGGATACGTTTTCAGCATTTCCATACGAAAAATAACATGACGTATTGCCGCAAAATGTGCAGGAAACCGAGTCAGCATCTGCAACAGATTGCTAATCGGAATGCTGAAAATTGCCACAACGCAGAGTAAAGTACCCGTCGATCCATCCAGACTCAAGTAGCATTGGTAAACATTTAAAAGGTCCTACTCCACCAATCGATGACAAACAATTATTGTCGATATAGTAGAGTCCTTACGGGATCGCTGTATTTATCGATACTTGGACAGGATAGCGCCGTTGTTCTTCGAAACGGTTGTATTGCGACAATTAAAAAATATTATACAACGTGATAATAGTTGCTATCTTGTCTTAAATAGATTTACAAAGATTGACGATTTGTTCAATCTTCCGTGTCGCTCATCTGATATTGGTGTTTATATTTGTTCTGCTCCAAGTCCAAAATTGATGTACGTTAGGTTAGATCAAGTTGCGGGGCAAATGTTTTCTAATGCCGTACTGGTCCAAGGAAGGTACGAACGAAAGAATGTAGTTCTGACGTTTCGTCGTTATTAAAATTATCTCCACAAAGTCCGTAGTTTAACTTTTCTTGTTATTGGTTCAAATTTGCCTCCATTTTTAAGGCAACCAATCACATTTCGTTTTTTCACTTTTTCAAAAAGTCCATTAATAGGGCAAATACTACGTTGTTATTGTACATAAGTAACAACATGAAAAAGAACTGCGGACCATCTTCTGTGAATGATGCTACGGAGAATTTGGTGAGGAAAATGTCCGTCGATGGGGGGCTACCAGCCGCAGAAGGCTACTTCTTCTTCGCAAAAGAAAGTTGAGACTACCTGCGGCACAATCGCAAGCCAATGCCTGCCAAGCAGGGGATGCCTGGTGCGCCTTTGAGCCAGAAAATCCTTCTCCCGGGGAAGGCAGTAGCAGCCCCTGCGAAAAAAGGTTGCACTTCCTACAGCAGCTGCTGCCGCTGTGAAAACGGTGAGGACGCTTCCGCCCATGCCGAGGAACGCAGAAGTTGTACTTCCTCGGAGAAACACTGCAGCTCCTCCAAATGCAGGTATAAAAAAGAGTTTTTATCATACCAAATCATTATTCTGTATTATTGAGATACGTTGCTACTTTATTCGTCTGTTATGTTACAGCGCAACCTGGACCATTAGCTCGACTGAACCTTCTGTTATCGGAGACCCAAGAATTGAAGGATAAGATAAAGTAATTTATATATTAATTAATTTATTAATTTCTCAGCAGCAGTAGGAAACTTATATTTACGAGAATTTTATTATTCTACATTTTAGGGATCTAAACAGAAGGATGGGTCGTGGACGTCGAAGAAACTAATAGGTAATATATTTTTTAGTGCTATAAAAGTATTAATTATCAATTTATTTATTTATTTCTTATTATTGCAGTAACGTAAGCTTCCGACTTGCTGCCCTCGAGACGTTGGGAAGGTATAATCGATGGGTAGATTAATTTAAATTCAAATAAAGTATAGCTATATTACATTAATTTATACGTTTAATTTTAGCTCAATTGACGAAAGGGTGAAAAATATGGAAAAAGTCCAAAAGTGAGTAGATATTTCTGGTTCAACTTTTCAATTTATTTATTGTCAATTTTATATCAATCGTGCTTTTTAGTTCCATGTTCAAAATGCTGAGGGACATGACGAGGAGAAACTCCCCTAAGGTTAGGGCCAGGCCTGCGTGCTTCCCCTTCAAGTCCATTGCAGACCTGCTGGGAATTTAATAATGCCAACCAGACGAGCTGTTCGACGATGTCGTGAGTATATATGTATTTCTATAATTATTAACTTGTATACTGATAATTAATTTTGAACAAAAATTGCTTTAGGTCAACTATCTCGCATATCTTGGAGGTGCGAATGTGCAGGACGAAGCAAACTTTTATTTTAAAAGTTGCTTCGAATTAGATAACGACCTCTTCCGGAATTTGTGTTGGCATGGCTCCAAGAAGAACCGCGTCAAGGTGGCTCTCAAGTCGACGCGTTTTGCCGAAGCTTGCGAAGGTACGATCATATTATTAATTGCAATTTATATCATGTTATGCGATTATAATTATTACTATTATTTTTTGTTATACAGCTGCTATGAATCTTAACAAGGATGCTATGGAGAAGCCCACCTTGGACAAATTTTCTACTGCCATGACAAAGGCAATAAAGAATGCGAAGGAAGGTTTTCGCAGGAAGAGAGCTGCTGTAAACGAGCTGGAAGAGCAGCCTCCGCAACGTCGTGCTCGTGTTCTTCTGCCGAGGACCAATCCTACAATCGTCGTCGAACAGCCGCCGCATCAGGACGACAATTATGAGTATGTCGATCCTTTCCGACAAGAGCAATAGGCACCTGCCAACGTCGAAGAAAAGAACGAGGACGCTGAGGACGAGGACGCTGAGGACGAGGACGCTGAGGACGACCCTGGTATCTAACTTTTAATATCATTATTTGCATTAGAACTTCATAAAATGCGATAAGATTGATATAAGTCTATATGAAAAAATAACAATTGAAAGCAATAGACTCAATTTTCTTAAACTATTATCTGTTTCTATTGCTATTAACTATTATTAACCTTTTTTAGCAGGGGAGGACCAGCAGGAGGAGCAACCCGAGGAACAGGACTACGAGCGCAACGAAACCAACCTCAACGCCCTGCACTATGTCGACAATGAAAAATTGGTCAACGACGACGCGCAAGATGACCCTGACGAGGACTTGGATCTCTTTGCCAGCATAAGTTAAAGGATAGTATTTAATTCGTAGTAGATAATATTTAACGTATACATTCATATATTCTTTTATATTTTAACTAAATAAAAGAATACACATTTTTTTTTTATTTACTAAAATTCATTTTATTTCCAAATCATAGTGGTTAATGTGTATTCTCTTTTCACAAGGCTCTTTTACATTTATTTCCAGTTTAAAATGTAGCTTTTAAATTGTTTATTATATTAATTATTAATATTTGTTAAATTGTTTCACATTTCGCTTATAGTTTAATTCTGTTTTTTTTTTTATATTTAACTTCTTATTCTTTGTCTGTAATTGTTTTTTTTCATTCGTTTTAAGAAATGTAAGAAAGCGTTGGAGGGGCTAAGTGCAGGTACTGCAGGGATGAACCTCACAGAGACGGGCGAGGCTGGGGCCCGTCTCACACTAACAATTAAAATAGTTTCTTTCAGAATATTACAACCGACATCGTGGATGAACATATAATCAAAGCGTTCCTCCTAATTCCGAATGTGATATCTAGTATATATAATATACAAACAATTATAACATCTTGTATTTTGCAGGTGCAGAGAACAACATGGCAGGAGCTATTTATTCAAGAGTCAACTTTCGTATCCGGATTTTAACTTTGCGACTGGTCTTTTCATATGAATAAGGCTAAGACATTCTATTTCGCGATACTTGTAAGGTGTAAAAGATGTATTGTACAGTTTCTAACGTTTTGGATTATGTTGCAGGTTCTATATATGGACACAGTAGTCTACAGATGGATTATGCCCCAGATATATCTGCGGTGAGATGTGTTCATAGCTGCTGCTTCGTATTTCAATATTCATTATATCTAGGGACAGGGGCAAGTAGATGCAGGAGATGGTAGCTGTTTTCTCCATCACCATCATGGATATACACGTATAGGAGGGACGCATATATCTATCTGATTGCAATGTTGAAGATTGAAGAAAAGTGTCCAGTGAAAGTGTTGTGCTTTTGTAAACAATTATTAAGTTTAGAGGGAAAGTGCTAGAGGCTCTTTTTGTTGTTAGTACGACAGGGAATCTATTAGTGGGTTTATAATTTTTAGTGTTAAATTAAAAATGTTGCTAAATTAGGTAAAGTAATTAAAAGGTGTCTTTCGGTTCTTTGTTTTATATAGAGTAAAATTTATCTCTTTCATTTTTCGTCTAAAGTTAATCATTTTTGAGAAAATGCCTTTTAATGTAATAGATTATATCATCTTGATTATTGCATTTTCTCAATAATTATTAACTTTAGAGATACTCTAAATGAGATATAGACACTTAATATTATTGTTAACATTTTTTTTTTTTTTAATTTATTTATTTTATCTCCACAAATTACACAAATCTTAATATTTAAGTTGACAATTATTTAGCTTAATTGGTAATTTGTGGGAGATCTGGAGTCCAAACTAAGCCTAGGCCTGTATTTTAGAGCTCCAGGCCCCCCAAAATGAATTCACAGTAATATTATCAATGCTGTTTTTGAGCTTGGATATTTATGCATGCATGCGTGTGTGCGCGCGCGCGTGTGTGTGTGTGTGTGTGTGCGTGTGTGTGTGTGTGTGTGTGCGTGTGTGTGTGTGTGCGTGTGCGTGTGTGAGTGTATGTGTGTGTGTTACATATATATATGTGTATACAATTATTAAGTTTAAGACTGACTACGCCACTATCTCTAGCAACTTTTCTGTTTCTAAATAGTTAAGATTGAAAAGTAGCTTTTGTATTTTGGTTTTGCATTCTATCTTTGTACAGTTTACTATGGGTATTAATTTATTTATTTTATTGAACAACTTAGATCCACGGAACATATAAAATCTTTGTGCGAAGGTAGTATAAGTTCGTATCGGCTCACATATTGCATAATTTCTGCGCGATTGGACTACACGGTTTGTTCTATCTGGAGACAAATTCGAATGTTTGTGAAGGACGGTTAGCAGTATATATAGTTGTCGTACAGTCAATATATTAGTTTCTTCGTAAAGTTTAGTAGTAGGGAATAAACGAGGTTTAAATGTACTCACCTTTAATATCATCCTCTGAGCTCTTTCTATGATTAACATATGGGATTTACAAGCACCTCCCTAAGCAGTAATACAAAAGCTCAAAATGGATTGCACCATGGCGTTGTAAACCATTCTTATGGTTTGTCTCTCTGCTACATCCCGCAGCTCTTTAAAGATGTAAACTAGTTTGCGTATCCTTTGTGATAAAGTACGAATGTGGGTTGCAAAGGTTAAGTTAGCGTCTATTTCGATTCCAAGGTATTTTAGGCATTGAGTGCGTTCAATGATGGGACAGTTGCAAGTAGCTATTGGTGGGAAGTTACATTTATGTGCAAAAATATTGTGGTTGTGGGTTGTTATATCGATTGTGTTTTGTATTGAGAAGTTAATGTATTTAGTTTTACTTTCATTAAGGGTAAGTGAGTTTGATAATAGCCAGTGACACACAGTGTTAAATCCAATTTGAGCAATTTCAAAAAGTTCACTCCAAGAATCAGCTAAAAACGTAAGAGCAGTATCATCTGCATATGTTGATATACGGCAATTTTTAATTTTTAAATTACTGTGCTCGTTGATGTAGCAGAGAAAGAGAGTTGGACCCATAATGCTGCCTTGCGGCACCCCAAAATCATTTGGCAGTACATCACTGACATACTTACATGGCTCCAATAGTGGTGGTTGTTGTTGTCCAATCATTGAACTTGTAACATCTCATGCATATCTGGGCCTCATCATTGACGACAAACTAAACTGGAAACCCCATATCGATAAGGTATGTGATAAGCTAAGATGTTTTCTGGCAAACATTAAGATCTTAAATCGTCGTATTCCTTATCGTGTTAAATTGTTACTCTATAACTCCCTAGCCGAGTCTCATATTCAGTATGGACTCACCAGCTATGGGCGAACTTACAAGACCTACATAAATATTATATACAGATTGCAACTAAAAATATTAAAGACAATAACATCTCCACAGATTAATTTACAATACAATAACAATCTTTGTTAGCAATAAAATCCTCTAGCAACGAAACGAAGTTAGCGAATTTTGAGCGACAAATGGAGGGTATCGCAACTCAACAAAACGAGTTTAACGTACGCGGACAAACTTAAGCTTCGATTACCACCTAAATCTGCTCCGTGCCCGGTACCTACTGAAGCGCGCGTTCCTAGGCCTTGTGTTATTGCCTATCCCACTACGGAACGCTTAGCG